ACCATGTGTTCTCACTCATAAGTGGACCTTGAACAATTATCAAAATACTATCAGAAATGGATTGACAGTAGTGGAAAACAGCTAGGGTGGGGGAGGGGTGGACTTGGCAACTGAGGGAAACTGCTAGGGGAGAGAGGGGCACACCTTATCAACAAGGGTACCTGCATAATGAACATTTGTATACCTAATCCTGAATTGTACCCCACATCTTTAAAAAAAATTTTTTTAAAAGGAAGAATTTCTTCAAACTCAAAAGCACTAACCATTAAATAAAGAGATTCCAAAATTTGACTATGTTAAAATTAAAAGCTGTTTATCAAAAGAAACCATATATCCTGTAAAAAGACAAACCACAGAATAGGGAGGTATTTGCAACAAGTACAGTTGGCAAGGGACCAGTATCTATAATACATCATGAATTCATACATAAATCAATAAGAAAAAGATAACAACCAGGTTTTTTTAATGTACAAAAGATCTGAAGAGATTCTTCGCAAAGAGGAAATTAAAATAACATGTGAGAAAATGCTTATCATCATTAGTAATCAAGGACATGTAAACTAAAATCGCACTGATAAACTACGAGGCATCTACCAGATTGGCAAAAGTGTTAAAAATTTGTCATACTGATGTTACTATGAATATGATTAAAGGATAACTTTGTATATAATTTGGTATCATTGAAGTTGAAAATATGTATATTCTGTGACCCAAGAATTCTTCTAAGTTTAAACCTTAGAGAAATTTAGGGATATGTTTACAATGGTACATTTGCAAAAATGGTTATAGCACCATTGTTCATAAGAGGGGAAAATTAGGAACAATCCAAATGTCCATTAATGGTAGAATGAATAAATGGTGGTATAGTCATGCAATGAAATTCTAATAATCAGTGAAAATGAATGAAATACCTGCTGTAACATGCTAGTATATAGTTTTTGCAAAAGTCTAGATAGTTACTTTTGAAGATAGAGAGGATTATGGTTAAGAATTGCACCTTGGAGTTGTTAACAATTCTTTATTTCTTGATTTGGGTGGTGGTTATATAAGTATTCCCTATACTTGTTAAATTATACATTTATGTTTTATGCATTTTTTGAAGATGAATTTTAAAGTGAGACCTAAGTTTGAATAAGCTCTGATACTGTCACATGTTGACAACTTAATTTCTGTGAGTCTTAGTTTTTTCAACTATAAAATATGTTTAATTTTGTATGTGTGGCATTGTTTTAAAAATTGGAAAGGCCAGGCTCAGTGCTCAGCCTGTAATCCCAGCACTTTGGGAGGCTGAGGTGAGTGGATTGCCTAAGCCCACGGGTTCAAGACCCACCTGGGCAACTTGGCAAGACCTCGTCTCTAC